AGGTTTATTTGGTTCGTATTCAATTCGCGTTCATTAATTTTGCTTCGAGTTACAAATTTTCGGGCAGACCGAAGATGCGGAAGGTAAGTATACCGGCAAAAAATACAAAATTCTTAACAATACAATTTCTCCTCTGATCCGTCCACGAGATAGATATGAAGTATGTCTATAGATATGTTGTTTTGACAGCTGGTGATCGTTCAAGTGAGCGAGTAGCGCACGCGTTGCCAACTACCCGGTTGGCTGATAGGGGTTTCCACGGTGCGAGTTAATTTTTATCAGTTCAAAAGTTACAATTCGTAGAAATATTTCAAGTCTAGCTAATTCAATAAATACAAATGGTTAATTCGGTGTGCATGCGCTAATCACTCACTTGAACATCCTGCCCCGCCTAGGCGCGCTAGACGGCTAGTGCCACTTTCAACTGCTCCAGCGCTCTAATGGCCTCATCCATAAGCCGATTTGCCATCTTTTCTCGGAATGCAGCGGTATGGAGCCCTGTTGCCGAACGTTTGACGGTGCGTGGTTGTGGAATGGTGGCTGCAGTCGGATTGTAGCGATGGGTAGCGGCCTGGGTAGGTGGGTTGCGACGATCGCGAGCGTTTGAGAGGGAGGCCGGTGTCGGAGGTGTTTGAGTTGGAGGTGCGGTGGTACGGCGATGTGGCTGTGGTGGCGGCGGGGCCCGATGAAGCATCGTGTGGTGCGGCAGTGCACATATCCTGCACGTGATCTGGGATGTGCATTCGCTGGTAGCGTGCGACAGTGCCAGACAGTTGGTGCAGTAGTTATGGGCCCGCGCCAACAAGTACCGCTGCGCTGGCTGCATCCTTCTAAAGAGCGGGCATGTTCGTAGCGCGTGGTGACGCGCGCAAACTCGGCACTTCTGATAATCAGGGCTTGGGCGCCCCCCGCGGTCGCTAGCGGCCACAAACACCTGCGAGCGGAGTGAAGTTCTTGGTGCTGGTGTGGGTGCTGAATCCATTCACGCCTGTAAATAGTTGGGTAGATATATAATTTTAGTGGGACGTATATCGAGTATCGTGGGTCATGAGACAGAGAAGTATATAATTGTTATTTTGGGGAAAAGGCGCGTATGGTGATTGAAGGCGAGACAAGTTTACGATCAAGCGGTTTGTGGCATAAGTGGTACAGAATCATGATGATGGTGTAGGGTTACTCGGTCGCATTGGGACTGAGTGGAAGTTCGGCCGGTGGCAAAAAACATAATTTAACTATCGGCCGTGTGAGAATGCCGGTCTGAGTGCGTACCTCGACAACACGAATGTGGCCATCGGGGCCGGGCCGTGTCCTTTCGATGCGTCCGAGGCGCCACTCAGTGGGCGGAAGCGTATCGTCGTTGATGAGGACGCACTCGCCGACTTTCGGCTCAATACGGGTGTCTTTCCATCGGTGCCGTTTGTGCAGGTCCTTGAGATAGTCCTCTTTCCATCGTCGGCTAAACTGATGGTGTAGAACTTTGACCTTTTCCCACCGATTGAGTAGAGATAAGTTTTCATGGTTCGATTCAGGAAGAGACAACAGGGGGATCCCTTAAGGAAATGCCCGGGGGTGAGTGCGGTAAAATCTGAGGGGTCCTGAGATAGGGGAGAGATGGGTCGTGAGTTTAACACGGCTTCTATTCTGATTAATAGGGTGGTAAACTCTTCGAAAGTGAATTTATGTGACCCGGCAGTCTTCTTGAGATGCGTTTTGAAGCTTTTGACTGCGGATTCCCATAAACCACCCATATGAGGGGCGCTGGGGGGAATAAATTTCCAGTTTATACCTTTAGCGGCATATTTTTTGACGATTTCCCGGGATACTTCTTTCGAGAAGGTGATAAACTCCTTCTCAGTGGCTCTTTTGGTACCGACAAAGGTTTTGCCGTTGTCACTCATCATGGTGGCGGGATAGCCTCGCCGGCCAACAAAGCGAGCAAATGCAGCCAGAAAGGCCTCTGAAGTTAAATTCGAACACAACTCAAGGTGAACCGCTTTTGTCGTGAAGCATACAAAAACGGCCACGTAGCCTTTCACGAGGGTGGGCGATCTTAGCATGGAAGCCTTCACCTGAAAGGGGCCAGCAAAATCAACACCCGTTGTGGTGAAGGGCGGAGCGAAGGTGCATCGTGAGGGTGGCAAGGCTGCCATTATTTGTGAGCGCATTTGCTGCTTGTGGACAGTGCAGGGTTTGCATTGAAAAATGCACTTTTTTATGAGTGGCTTGAGCCGAGGGATATAAAACTCCTGTCTGATCGCCTGCTGCATAAGACGGGTTTCGGCGTGCAAGAGCAGCTCATGCAGGAAGCGTAAAAAGAGTGCAGCATATCGGGATTTCTCGGGAATAATGATGGGGTGGCGTTCATTGTAGCTTAGCGTTGAGTGCGCCAGTCGACCGTTTACACGTAGAAGTCCATCTTTGTCCAGAAATGGGTTTAAGGTGAGAAGCGGGCTCCGTGTATCGATCGGCTTCGAAGCTAACAAATTCCTCTTTTCATTGGAGAAATATCGAGATTGAGTTAAGGCGATGAGCTGGACTTTAGTGTTTCGGAAGTCATCGTGCGCCAGAGGTAAAAGGTTAACTATTATGTGGCTTGTTCGGGTTTTCAGAGTCCGTATGAATCGAAAAACGTGAGTCAAAACCCGGAGTGCGCGTGGGAAGGAGGAGAAACGATCCAGAATGTCGGGTTCTTCTTCGGTGGTGTGTAACGCTTCAATTCGGCGTACTTCGGGTGGATTGTTGATTGTGCGTCGTGAAGCTTTCGGCCAAGATTCCGCGGGGCTGGTGAGCCATTCCGGACCCTTCCACCACAGTGAGGAGGCTGCCAAGTCGAGAGGTTTACATCCTCTTGTACCCATGTCGGCGGGATTATCGTGAGTTCGTACATGCCGCCAGGTGGCATTTCCGACCAGATCGATTATTTCCGCGATTCGATTCGATACGAAGGTTTTCCAGGTATGGGGTGGCTTTTCCAACCATGAGAGCACAATTTCGGAGTCAGACCACAAAATCAAAGCTTGCGGGTGGAGATTGAGCTGAGATTGGACGACCGACACTAGTTTGGCTAGAAGAAGGGCTCCACATAGTTCGAGACGTGGTAAGCTGGTGGTTTTTAGGGGCGCCACTTTGCCTTTAGAGACTAGGAGGTGACACGTTATGTTTTCTTCTCGTATCGCTCTGACGTAAATATTGGCGCAATATGCCTTCTCAGACGCGTCGCAAAAACCATGCAGCTCAACAGGTTGGCCTGGAGAATAGTTCACCCAACGAGGAATTTGGATTGCTGTTATGGCTTTTAAGTTGTTCGCGAACTGCGTCCACTTGACGAGACGGATGGGTTTTACCTGTTCATCCCAGTCGGTTCCATCAAGCCATAGCTCCTGCAAGAGAATTTTGGCTTGAATCATTATCGGCGCTAGCCATCCTGCGGGGTCGAAAAGTTTGGCGACAGAGGAGAGGATTTGTCGCTTCGTGCTCGCTGTGGTTACTGGGATGGACTCAACGGTATATGAGAATGCATCTTTTATGGCATTCCATTGAATCCCGAGCGTTTTCGTCGTACTTGCCTTTTCGAATTCGAGAAACTGTGAATCGAGCACGTCGGCGATGGGAACGGTTTTGAGGATATCAGGATGGTTGGCCGTGATTTTCTTGAGGGGGAAGCCTGCCGACAGAAGAGCTTGTCTGACTTGAGAAAGGGATTCAGAGGCTGAGAGGATAGAGTGCCCACCCGAAAGTATGTCGTCTACATATGTTTCGCTCATTAGTATTGGGGACGCCATCGGGAGTGTGTCTTTTATATCTTTAGAGAGTTCGTGAAGGGTGCGTATTGCGAGATAAGGGGCGCAGTTGAGACCAAACGTGACGGTTTTTAGTTTGAAATCTTGAATTGGACCTTTTGGGGAGGAGCGAAATATGATTCTCTGGTAATCTTGGTCCTCATCGTGTAATAGTATTTGGCGGTACATTTTTTCTACATCGCCATTAAAGACAAATTGGTACGTGCGCCATTTGAGGATTAATAGCATCAAATCGGGTTGGAGGGTTGGCCCGGTGTAGAGGACATCGTTTAACGAGTTACCGGAAGTTGATTTTTTCGATGCATTAAAGACAACACGCACCTTTGTCGTTCTTTTTTCAGGTTTTACAACCGCGTGGTGGGGTAAATAAAATGACGAGTATTTGTTTCCTGAGGATTTCTCATAGGAAGTTGTTTCTTCCATATGACCTAGTGTTATATATTCCTCGAGGACTTGGTCGTACTGGGATTTTAGCTCGCCTTTTTTGAGAAGATTTTTCTCCATACTGAGGAATTGCTGGAGAGCTGGGGCACGGGATCGACCTAAGGTGAGTTGGTCTGGGAAACTGTGCTTAAATGGGAGTCGCACTTTGTAACGACCATCAGATGTGCGTGATGTGGTGGATATATAAAAGTCTTCACACACTCGGTCCTCAGAGTTGAGAGATTTGGGAGTGGGGATTTCTTCCAGTTCCCAAAATTTTCGAAGTTGGGAATCGAGATTCTCATTTGAGACTTCGTCTACTTGGGTCGAAAACGAGCTTATTTGATTGGGGACTTGACCACTAAGGATCCACCCAAATATGGTGTTTTGTGCTAATAAGTTTTTGGAGAGTTTTTCAACCCCTTCTAGCACAATTTGTGGGATCAGGTCGCTGCCAATGACTAAGTCTATTTGGGATGGGGAGTGGCAATTGGCGTCTGCTAAGGTGAGATGAGACCATTTTTCCCGTTGTTCTTGAGTGGGTTGGAACTTGGGTAGCAATTTGGTTAGCTGTGGGAGGACGATTGCTTGTGCTTTAATCCGTGTGGATAAATCGTTTGAGACAAGAACCAGAGAGCATAATTTTTTCGAGGTTTGGACTACCCTTCCACCCATTCCTGAGATTTCGAAATTGGAGGTTCGACATGGTAGTCTCAATTTGAGTTGCGCTTTGGAGGAGATGAAGCTCCGTTCTGAGCTCTGATCAATGAGGGCTCTTAGTTTGAAGAGCTCCCCTCTGTGTTCAACGGAGACGATTGCCGTCGGGAGTAGTACTTTACTTTCATTTTCGGAGTAGAAGGATTGTACCTGGGACTCATTTGAACACGAGGGTTGCTCGTCTTGTTCTTCCAGAGACTGGGGAGTTTGGAGACTGGCACTGGTGGAGGTGGTAGTTGCCACTTGAGATGAGGCCTTATGCACTCGGGGAGTTTATGAATTTTTTGAGAGTGCGCCATCATGGAGTGATGAGTTGTGCCGTTCTTGGCAATGAGCGCAATTGTGAGGGCTTCTGCAATCTTTAATTAAATGCGATTGGGATAAGCAGTTTAAGCACATGTGATTATCCCTCACAAATTTTTTCCGATCCTGAATTGACAGTTTTTTAAAGCGAGAGCAGCTGTAAATGGGATGCTGAGAGGTTTTGCATAATGCACATTTATACATTGTGCGCTGCTCTGTCATATGAGATTGGATCTTTGAATGGGATTTATTGTGAGTGTCATGTGAATTATTGCTTTTAAATGCGTATGGGTTTTGTTTGGGGTAGCTTGTATGCGGGGGGATCGGTTTAACCTTGGCTGGGCGCCACTGATCTACTCTTTCTACCACCTCATAGCGAGTAGTCAGAAACTGGTTCATCTGGGACCAGTTGGGGAGGTCTTTTCTGGAGATGAGAGATTGTTCCCACAGAGTTACTGTGTTCTCCGGAAGTTTGGAGGTGACCAGATAGATGAGGATGGGGTCCCAACTCTCTGTCGAAACTTGCTGGGTAGCGAGGATTTGAAGGCAGTTATTTACAGAAGATTGTAATCTCTGTATATCCTCGCTATTTTCAACTTGAATTGGTTTCAAATTCATTAGGGTTTTTATTTGGTTATCTACCAAGACTCTGCGATTTTCATATCGTGCTCTTAGGGCTTCCCATGCCAGTTCGAAGTTGTCATCACTTAATGGGAATTGTTTGACTATTTGGCCGGCTTTGCCTTGCGTTTTGTACCGGAGGTGGTACAACTTCTGAGCATTTGTGAGTTTTGGGTGGTTAATGTAGACCGCGGTGAACATGTCACGGAAGGACGGCCATTGTTCATAACCCCCGTAAAATATCTCAGTGTCGCAAGGAGGGACTTTTAAGCCGAAGCCTGTTTCTTTTTTGGGTTGTGATGTACCGGCATGGGGAATGGGATTACTCCTTTGTTTGAGTAACAGAAGTTGGTCACCTATCTGGGCTTTTGTGTCTTCATACATTATAAGACAAGACCTGTATTTATTGTACGCGGCTGCCTTGAAATCTTCGGGGAGATCCTGCTCTTCAGTTTCTAAGACCGTATCGTAAGAGATTTGGACCCGATTCCAAAAGTTATCGCAATTATTGTCTTTTATTTTCAGACTTGACTCGGTGTTGTCTTGGATTGGGGTGGATTTGAAACGAGTACAGTAGTCCATGAAATTATCTGTTTCTGATATAAATTTAATAGAAGCGAACGACTGCTTGGATTTCTTCGTGGCTGACTTTCCACTTGTACGCGTTGAGCGTTGGGACTCCGTGGAAGTACCTTGGGTTTTTTCATCGTCACTCATCTTTGGGCTTTTTGATTTATCTATTTGAGGGGCACCAAGCATTTGTTAAATCAAGAGAAAAGGGGAGTGAGTTGATCAGTTATGAGAAATAAAATGACCGCAATATAGTGTTCGCAACACGAGAAGTAATAGAAAAATTTGTCGCTTCGAAATATGTGTTCGTACCACTGTACCCGCTTGAGCAAAAAAATTCAATCACCCTACCGCACTTTTTGTTATATTTGTATATATGTAATGTATATATGTATAGGTATATAAGTATATATTAATATTTTATGAGGGGTCAGAGATAAGCTGATATTTGTGGAGTTTATTAACTTTTAACTATTTAATATTTAAGTGAACGTTTGTGTGTGTGCATATATGTATGCGCGCTCATATATCAAAATTTATGTGTGGAAAAAAATGAGAGAGAAGTAAATACTCGCAGTTATTTTCACTTTGTTTGAAAGTACATATAGAAATATGCACCGTTTACTGATTGCGCGGGAAAATATGAATATTTATATAGGAGATCTCCACAAATATTGCTTCTTTTATATATATATGTATGTGTATTTTTTTTCCTTTTTTGGGCGTAAGTGGGGTTAAAAGAAATTCGTTTCTTACTTACGGCTTTATTTGGGCTTTGGGTACTTATGTGGTTGATGAAGATGATCCGCCTGGAGTGTTGCGGGCTGGTGTCAAAAGGAGGCGACGAAGGACCAAATCGCAGGGCTTGGGGGCCTGCGTTAGTTGTGGGCGGCGGAGCGGCCAATGCCTGGGGGTTGCTGGCCAGGTGGTGTGGTCAACCGGGAGCGATGAGTTGATTTTCCTGGGCGGCGCTGAAGGCAGTCGGGAAATGTCGGAATGACGTCGGCGTGTAGCTGGCGGCTGTACGGCACTGCCGGACGTTTTCGCACTAAGAAAGCTCTGGATGGAGCACGGGGACACGCAAACGACAGCGGCTGGAACGTGGTGGCACTAATAGGGCACTATTACTAGAGCGACCGTTTCAACGCCCGTTTTGTTAAGTTGGAGTAAGCTCAACGAAATAAAAACACCGAACTGATTTCAATTTAGGTTGAGAACAACGTAGGTTTATTTGGTTCGTATTCAATTCGCGTTCATTAATTTTGCTTCG